ATCGTATAATTTGTGCATATTGATGTATGCATGTACACTAGGGTGCATCACTATCCATACAAAAAAAAAAAAAAAAAAAAACTAAAAAAGATTTACGTGAGCTGGACTTGAAAAAATCCGCATAAATCTAAAGAATAGAAGAGTCTTATCAAAATAATGAGATTTTTGGAGATATTTTCAAATCGGTCTAACTCACTCAAATCTTAACACTTTTGCGAAATATTTTGAATGAGATCTTAAAATAAAATAAATTCTATAATTCCGGTAGAAAAGCCGCCACATTTTTTGGTGAAGCATCCTAATGTACACATCTATGTATTCGCTTCTCATGTATCACTTGTGAATTTGTGCTTCTAATTTTGTATCATTTTGTTTTCTCAGTGTATACTAAATTAAATAAATTGTTTAGTTTAATTAAATTAATTGTGTTTTCTTTTATTATTCTTTCTTATTTACGAAAGCTATTCGTCCACGCGTGACAGTAGCAACCAGCGCCAGAGTCAATACTCAACGAAGACAACGTCCAGCAGCGTTGGCAATTTAACGCTCTCGGCCGCAGGTCCCGCTGAGAGGCCACTAATGTTACCAACGGAGCGCACAACCAGTTTGAGAAATTGAACAGAACGCAAAGTAAATAGAAATGGAAATGGAAAGGAATTGAATTCAAATGAGTAGTGTCTCTACAAAGAGACTTGAAATAATGGAAAAAGCAAAAAAAACTAATTGAAAATACAACAGAATAGAATATCAGCCGTTCAAAAATCAGCGTGTGGAGTGTAAAGGACACTTTGGCAGCCGCCTGCAAGAAACAAAAAATCACAAAATTTAAATGAAAAAAATGTGAATAAGTTGTAACTGGTATTTATGTATGTACATATCGACACTTGGGTGGAAGATCGGCCTATCTCAGGAGCAAGTTCCCAAACGCCCTATCTCAGAAAACTTTTCAAGAACGCCCTACTTTAGAATTTTATTGAAAAATTCGGTTCAAAAGCGCCCTTTCTCAAATGGAAATGTGCTGAGATAGGGCGTTCTTGAATCAAATTCCTAAATAGGGCGTTTTTTGAAAAATTTTCTGAGATAGTGCGTTTTCGAAATGGCTGCCGAGATAGGTCGATCTCTTCCACCCAAGTATCGATATGTACTTATGTATGTAGATTTTAAGAAAAAAAAATATATACATATATTTGTGTGAGTGTCATATTTACGTTGTAAGTAATAATTAGGACTTTAGAATATTTATATGTATGCTGATATATGTATTATTATATAAATGTACATCACATAAAAGACATCAGACACTCAAAAAAAAAAAAACATGTCTACCATCAGCAGCGATTTTTATAAAACATCATTGAAAGAAGTTAGTGTATCTCGGCCATACATACTATGTGGTACAAAACAGCTGTACTACACAAAACATATCTCTGTACATATAATTTTCTTATTTCCCCACTGACTTTGCAGTGGCTTACATAGCTAAGAGCAGGAAAGGTTAATAATTTTTCTATAGTCAATGCCAGTCTGATAGAAAGCAGAATAGTGAACACATTTCAGCATCACAAAATACTTAGTAAACATTTATGTATCACTAAGATAAACACTCATAGTTTCACTCAAACTTTACACTAAAATACAAATATTTATAAAATACAAATATTTATAAAATATTTAAAAGAATGATGTCAGTCAGTCGATCGTGTAAAGTCCTCATTAAGTTAAGCTAAGCGGTGTAAGGTAACTTAAAAAAAAGTTCAACATTACCATAGAAGTAAAATTTGAGTCACAAAAATACGTAAGTAAACAGCTGTTGTAACTCACAATTTGTATTCGAGTCGTGAGCGCTGCTCTCTATTTTGAAATAGGTTTAGTTTTCAGTGATAAATTATATTCATAATGCAATATATGCACTTATCTATCAACTTAGCCTAAGCTTACACAAAAAAAGTCTAATTTATAATTTGTAGTTTTGCATATTTTCATTTTTATTTCTATTATTTTTACTTTTTATTTTGCTTTACTCACCACTCCCATTACTTAGTTAGATACATATGTATGCATTTTCTATGAATACAATCCATGCGAGTATACTGTAGATGCGAGTCTAAAATTAAGAATAAATTTGTTATCTGTTTTGCATTTAAATAAAAGTGTAAGTAAAAACACCAAAAATTGCGAATTTTAAATGTAATATTATTGGTAATAATAAAGGGCAGTCACAAAGAAAAAAAATAACATGATTTTTTTCAGACTGCGTCATTTTCGGGGTTTCCATTTTAGTGATTTGAAAATTTTGAACAGAAAAAGTATTTTATAAGTCATTTTCACATTATCCTAATTTACGGCTCATGCTGAAATCAATTAATTTTGGCATGCAAAAATTTGTCAATAAATGTGAAATTCACGAAAATTTAAAACATTTCAAAAATTTGCTATCAAAATTTTAAAATTTTTTAATCAAATTTTTTAGAAAAATTTTGGGCATGCATTTTCATAGACAATTTAATTTCAGTATAACAAGATGCAAGTTCGAAGTTTGGCATTTTCTTCGATATAAAAATACGAGTATTTTAGAACATACACAAACAATTTTCAAAAATCAGCGCGAATTTCGTGGAACTGCAAACGTTCACTTCTTGTACTGAAATTGAATGAGCTATAATACTTTTTAGCCAAAAATTTTCCTTCAGCCTGATACTACGCAGCCATGTTTTTAACTGGCTAAGAATTGAAAAACTGATTTCTGAAGTAGCGTTACTCGCTTGAAGTGTGGCCAGAATGCAGAAAAGTTTGTAAATCAGTGGAAAAGAATATTCGTCCCAGTTACCAGGAACTTAACGTTGCACATAGCAGCATTTACATATATAATAAAACAGGTCAAAATTCAGGTTTATCCACTTTGATAACATCTTTAAACATATTATTTCTCAAGCCATATAACCGATTTATCAGTTGGCAGCCAGTTAAAGCGAAGTTTAGGATCCTTCAAAAGGGATTCCAAACAGAAATGTTCAACGGCTAGTTAAAGGGAGAGTCGATGCTGGCATAGTTAAAAATCCGTTAGTCTGATCGAATATTATTTGTCAAGGATCTGGTGGGAAAACTCGATGCACCGCTAGTTTCTTCCTACTGTTTTTTTCATCTGTAAAAATAACTTACAAATATTAGAAAACGAATGCGGCAAAGTGCGCTCGATACTCAAATGCTTTCGTCGGAGCTTAGTACCCAGGTCTCAGTACCCAGATTTACTGAATTAATAATAATAATAGATTGGCGCTTCTCCTTGGCTTTACTAGCTTTTCCTATAATGGCGTCGTGTGCAGCGGAAAGAGGTCTCAAAAGATTACGTAAAGGCTGGAGGTAATTTGGGATTTTGAGCCATTCGATCCGCGCAAAGCTGCAAGGCTGGATGGCTATGCATCGAAATCTTCCCTGAGGCAGGGAAACTAAATAAACCAAGCACAGGCAAATGACTTCTGTCTGAAAAGTTTTGCATCTTTTATTCTGAAGACACTTGAAAGTCTAATTGATATCAGGGAAAGTATTAGCATCCACGCTATGGACAAAGCCCAACAATCAATCAGGAAGGGTAGGTAGGTCTGTAGGAAGTGGGAGCCGCGACGACAGAACATGGCACTCGTCTTCTTCTTATTTGGCACTATAACCGCTTGTCGGTTTGGTTTGAGACTTGCGTCAATTACATCTCCTTCGCGAAACGTCGCTAGTTCTTCATCCCATGGCCGTCAATGATTTAGAATAGTACGGATTTACTCCATGTTTGTGATCAAAATAACCAACGCAGCTAAAGACATAAGGCCCGCATGAAGAAGAACCAATAGTGGCGCTCCCCCTATAATGGAGGTATTACTCCTTCCGACATTTCTAAGTAGGCCAACCAGAAAAGGCAGGGAGGTTAACTCCGCAAAAATAGAACACGAAAGATAAAAGTTACCGCCTGTTCTCTACTTAAATCGCCTTTGAAGCGAAATACTGATTTGGTAAAGGAATGAAGTAGGATCTACCAAGGTACTACACCTGCAAAATAGCTGGTGGAAAGCTCTATACAAAAGGATAAATTATGAAAATGATTGGGAAAGTGCAATATCTAACATGATCTTTCGTTTTCGACGTAGTTGTTTGGAGCGCCCTCAGACTTAGCAAAGCCTACATAAATGTGTAAACCAATAAACTTCGGGCATGCGGCAATACTGGGTGAAGCACAGCATATTACGGCGATTGAGACGTCAATGCAAGGACACAAGAAAAATACGACGCAGACGGTCTTGTTGCCTACCAAGCCGTTATTTATGCTATCGAGAGTACAGCCAGTCTTCTACTAAAGAGGACGTTCCACCTGGAAAAGAGGGAATCATCGCCGATATCCAAGCCATTTGAAAGCAATAGGAGCCGAAGTAATGAAATAAAAGATTACACGAGAATTCCATGACGCGTTGGCCCGACTTCGCCATCACAAGGTTGGATCGTCAGAAACTCAACAGCGCTATTGTACTCATGATCCAATGGTGGCGAATACTAATGAGTTCTGCCTGCAGACGTCCCCGCGATGAGAGTGAGGGGGAATCAATTGAGGGGCAGCTAAAATGCCTACGATCACGTTTCTTCGCCAATCCGCTAGAAATAGCGGATGCGGAAATCCTTCTTTGCTTTTTTTTGATGGGATGACTAATATTCTCGCCACCACTGTAAATGCTAGTTCAGCTTCGCACATTCCTACTGGTTTGTGCTTCGGCTATGCCGGAAGTGAGCTTTACTGATTCAATTTCAAAATTTTCGTCCACTATATAAATTTCCGCCACTGTTTGTTAACAAATTGTTGCTTGCTGCTGAAGGCCAAGGTGCCTCTCGTAGAACTACACGTTTGTAGGCGATTGTATATGCATATGCTGTATGTATGTATGTACATATGTATATAAGTATGCCCGTGGTTGTTAGAATGAGCACTTGCGAGCGTTAGTGGCTTGTCGCTAGCGCGTCTGCTGGCAGTTTGTTTTGTTTTCTGGACCGCTTTGGACGTGTGCTATTGGAAGCTATTGGCGATTGTTGGTGGAAACGCGCATAGAAAGAACGGGGCGGCGCGCAGTGAGAAGCGGACGACTGGTACGGCGTTGAACGCCAGTGCGATTGTGAAAGAACGCGAGTGCACACAACAAGTAGCCGAAAATGTCCAAATGAATTCAACAAATAATAGAAAATTTAATTATACAAATACCTGAGAGCGTGACGTCACCTCGGCGGCTAAAATAAAAGATTGGCGATTAGCGAAACGATATTTTCGAAAGTCAATCACGTTGCGCTTAATTAACATTGAGACAAAATCTATGAGAAGTTTGCAAAAACCCTACGACTTATGAAGTGTGAACGTCGCGTGCGTGTGTGTGTGTGTGAATTGGTGTAATTAGCAGTTTAGAAATTTCCGCAGCTCCGCAATCGCCATGGCAGCCACCATTTCTAGCCGTTTAAAACCTCAAGTTCTTGCCGCGCTGACGCTGCTACCGCTGCTTGTGTGCGTGCAGTCATTAAAGGCAGCGACCCCTACACCGACCTACCCCTGCGCGTATGCACAAACTGTCAACATATCCGAAGGACTCCGGCTCAAAGATGGCTCTTATTCATACGAGGGGCTGCTGATACCGGCAAATATGACAGCGCTCTACACATTTCAGGTGGTGGACGGCATTCTCTCGAACGCACCACCACACATGCGCGGCTGCGTTTGCCGCCAACGGCCTTGCATCACATTTTGCTGCCCGCCGGCAAAAGTGTTCGACGAGCTGACGCAGAGCTGTGTGTCACAAGCGTCGGCGTTGAGCGTTCAGCAGCAGCGTCCGCAGCACGCTCACATCGAAATCACTGCCGCGAATGGCAGCGTCAATATAGCCAGCATTCGCGATATGTTCGTGATGCGCTACGAGATAGGCTGCAGTCGAAAATACATCAACGAGGAGAATGAGATCTTCTGGAAGTGGGACCTCTTTGCGGTAAGACTTTGCAACTAAAAAAAAATTAACTAATAAGTACATACTTGGGAAGATGTGATATCACATGATGCGGTGATGGCGTGATGTGATATCAATTTGGTTTCATTGTGAATGATATGAATATGAAAACTCGCCTTTTTATTTCTTTGGAGGCCTAATTTCATGTTTTTGATCGAGGCCTCATAGCCATCCATCAGAAAGCCATTATACAAATAACCGAATATTTCCCAATTAACTTTTTGATTGCGACCTAATTTCACATTGAGGTCTGATTTTTTTCGCTTCATTCACATCAAGCTTTTATTACTTTAACACTTTTTCAGAATGGTTCTCTATCCAGTCAGGGTCGAATTTGGGACGCCGATCAGTACTGCTTCACGCCATTGGAACATAAAAAGGTCTGGAGCTTGGTGCCGCTCACCTGCGAACGTTCGGCGCGCGGTTTTCGCCTCTGGATTTATGTGATTTGTATGCTTTGCTTATTTTATTTCTGACTTCAATTTAAAATAAAAAAAAAGCTTTCCATTTCTTCACAGGTATCGCATTGGCTATACTTATCTACGCCTTCATTCTCCTAACACTCGTCTCCATCAAAGCGGTGCGCAATGGCGGCTATGGTGAATCGCTTATTTTCTATCTGGCCTCTACAATCATTGGGCTCTCAGCGCTGCTATACCTGGCTCTACGTTCGCGTTTAGATCTTTCTGAAACTGCCTGCCGCAATATTGGTATGAGCTTAGGTTTTCAATATTTTAAGGACCAAATGTTTAAACAAATCCCATCGCTCTCTTTTCAGGCTTCATTGCTTACGTCTTCCTCATGTTTTCGTTCTTCTTGCTCACCATCATCAGCTGGAATTTTTGGTACAACTTCAAGTCGCGACGTCTGAGCAGCTGGAAACGCAAGTTGATCTATATGCTTGCCTTCGCCTTAGCTGTGGCGCTGAGGTTTCTGTTGAAGTTCATACAGGACTCAAATGTTTATCAGCAGCTGAAACCGGGTATTGGCGATGCATTTTGTTGGTTTGATGGTTAGTAAATCTCTGTGCCGTGGGAGTATATTTTGAACAACGAAAACTCTGATAATTCTCCTTTTTCATTTTTCATTTTTAGTTCGTTTGTGGGGCATTTTGTTGTACTTTTATATACCCATTGTGATTTGTTTGGCGCTCAGCATGACGCTCTTTTTGAAAACTTATTTGGCTATTTGGAATTTGCCGGAGGATGTCATTAATATCGCTGGCTATGACGTAAAGCTGATAAAAGCACAGTGAGTATTCTCGTGGATGTACACGTAGATATTTTCAATACTCTAAAGTTCGCACCAATTTCGGTTTTCTATCCGCGTTATTTTTCGTTCGTTCGAGATGTTGTTTGTGTGCAGCAAAGGTGGCTGAGCATTAGTCAAGGACACAATTAGTGCAATTTCGATACGCTTTCTTTATAGCGAATGATATTATCTGATGCCGCGGTTCGTTGGTATCAAACCACTTAGGCTTGTCGATAGATCTACATACTAATTTGGTAATGTAGCATTTAGAAATCTGCATAAGACTATCCTAGTGTCTCTTGTCTTTTACGTGCCAGAGCTAGGTAATCTTAAAAATAACCTAAGACTGTTGGACTCTATATGCTATTTTGGAAAAAATGGTAACGGGAAACGGTATTTAAGACCTTTGTGATGGAAAATTCAGGAAAAATTGAGTCGGTGGATAAAATAATTATTTTGACCTTTCCAAAGAGGTTTTAATTTTTATCCTTTTTTGCCTAAAACCAGTGTCTATGCAGTGAAGTTTTAAACACATATTTTTGATGTTATTATTTATATGTTTAAAACTCAAAAAAAAAAAAAAAAAAAAAATCAAAATTGAAACCTTTTTACATTTACTTATTTAGTTTTAAGGGCCAAGGTAATTTTCCTACCCAACGATACTATTTTCCGAGATTTCCCATTTCAAAATCTTTAATCTTTTTTTATTTCCCTAAGAGGTCATCCTTTTTTTAATACATCATAAAGCTTCTTTGGTTGTTCCATCGCATTTCAGACACTCGTACGAACTATGAATGTGAATGTGGGAACCCAGATAAAAAATATCTTTTAATTCCGCCCTCGAGGTTAGCATGCAATTCAAATCTCTGAGTACTTAAAAAATTGCCATTGGTGATACTGGTGCTATCTGAATAATTGTATGATTTTTGTACTCCTAGAAGGAGCGAAAGAAATACATCCAGCTTCTTAGAGCAAACCTGGGTCTGTATAAACTAGGGTTGCCAACCGTATTATAATATATAGTATTGCACTGTTTTTTCGGACTGCATACTATATACTGTTGGAAAAAAATATAGTATGCAAAAATACTATATTTCTCTAATTATAAATATTAATATATTTCAGTAATTTACAAGAAAGAATGTATAATAAAATGGATGAGCTTTAATCCTGAAGTAAAAATACTGAAAGAAATATTCTTTAAAATAAAAGATAATACTGAGTTTGTTAATAGAACCACAGATCAAAAATTGCAAAATTTAAAAAAAATACTTAGAATGAATTTCCCCGTTCCAAATTTTTCTTAAAATTATTTCGTTCCTGCTCCTCTATACCTGCAACTTCTGCATTCACATAAAGGGTTTTCTTCTATTATGAATGTCAAATGGCGAGATAAGAGAAACAAAGCGACTACCTCACTAATAAAAATGAACTTTTGATTTATATTAATTTAAATATTGATTGCAAAAATGCATAAGAAAGAAAGAAAAAATATGTACACTTAAAACGCGTTTTAATTTTTTATTTTAAATATAATACTATATTTATTTGAAGTGTACTAAATTTTTTTAGATTTTTTTTTTAATGTACTTTAAATTTCTTAGAAAATGTTGGCAACCCTAGTATAAACGCCAGTCGAATTATCGTCCATTACGCTGTATCTACTCCAATCCCGCCCTGAAGAAACTACAGCCGAAAGTATTTCCTCAAATCTGTCATTGGGAATATGTAGTTGGATTCTCTCCCCGGCTCTCGAATAGCTTGACTCGTTCAGTTTGATTGAAGAGAGAAGAGAGAGTATATGCATTTCTACGGCGCATGCGCAGTATACGATTTAAGCGCTGCTCTAGCACCATAATGACATCAATTTCGTTTGGCTGGAACTGACACTAAGGCCACGAATGTAACCTGAATAGCGCTCCATCTAGGATTTCGCTAGTCTTTGGGGGAAAGAGACTTGACACTGCCACTAACACATAGTCTGCATGTGAGGCTACCTTTACTTCTCCTTTGTTAAGTATCAGACCAGCAGAGATGGAGCTCTTTCTTGAGAAGTGCTAACGGGAAAGTAATATTGAATATTGGCTGGGGATTATGACGCAATTTCTAAGCTTCCGTTCAATCCAATCTTCGAATTCCTATAGATATGTGCCACGAATAATGCTACGCATGGACAAGGGTCTACTTTGGACTAACCAGAAGTAAAAGCCAAAAAAACTATTTAGTAGAAATTTCTTGAGCTTAGAGTGTCGTTCAATCTTTCGGCGCATCTGAGGGCACCATATCCGTAGCCCATCTGACCGGTAGCTCGATGGTTCGAGTGTATGTTTGTATGTAGCTTATTATATGATTTCTTTAGTTTCGCCTTGCTTTGAAAGCTACAATGAATTGTGCTAACATTTACTCCACTTTTCTCGAAAAATTATTTCATTTTTTTTAGTGCTGTCGAAAGCCAATCCTTACCTTTTAAACATTTTCTATTCATTCCATTCCATTTCCGCCTTACAGTTTCTATGCCTTCTTCGCCTATCTACTGGGCGCTATGTGCGTGTGGATGCGCGAACTAATTGTCTATTTGATATTCCGTTGGCGCAACAGATATTTTATTATTGACTTTCTAACTGGAGTTTGCCTCTTCGGTCTCGCCTTGTGTGGACTGATATTCTTACTTTATAAAAATCCATTGGTACGCGCTTGGTGGCATGTAAATGTGTAAGTAGAAAATTGACAAGTAAAATATGTAAACGAAAATGGCTTCAGAATACTCCCCTACTATTCAGGACATTTTACTTGCCTTACAGGAAGGAAGGGAGAGCTGAAAACGGTGTCTATTTGACGCAAATTTATCGCACCGAACAAGTGCGAACAGACAAACTAAAAGGTATGAAGAAAATATATTGCAAATTTTTGTTGTTGTGCAATCGAAGTAATTTTGCCCTTCTTCTATCTTCTTACAGAGGGCTATAAGGACGAGATTAAAGATGAAGATATTGCTTTGAAATGAGACTTTGGTAGAAATTGTGAAATTTCTATATAAATTATGTACAATTTGAGTAGAGAGATTAATGGGCATAACATCCAATGTTTAATCAAAAAATTATTATTCTTTAAACGGTTTTTCTCCACATATATTTTTTTTTTATTGTATTTAAAAAATGAAGGACAAATGTAACCAAGTCTTCCTATACACATACGAAATCATGTCGAAGTTGTATATGTGAATAAAATAACTAAAAATTTTATATTCAGAATAAAAGTATTTGAAGGACCAAGACAAAAACGAGTAGTTTGTAGGCGACCGAGTTGAATGCATACTGGGTTCATAGCATAAAAAAACGTAGATAAAAGTCTTATTAAAAATAGCACCCACTGTGCCCTAGGCTTCACTTTAAAAAGAGTAGTCATGCTTACACTTTGCATTGTAAAATAAATCCATCGACGCAGGGCTAATTATTTCAAATTTTCCTAAATTTCTGGACATTATTCTGTGTAAGAAACTAAAATACTTTTATCTTATAAAAAGATCAAAAAGTGTAGAAAAAAAATTTGCCAGAGTTGATAACCTCCTCTTCAATCTACAATTCAAAAAACGTAACCTCTAAATTCCATATAGCCAAAGTTGTTTAGTTCTAAAACCCAAAGTAATTAAATTTGCAAGATTAACCCTTCGTTAAACCTATTCGCCGAACCGATGGTGAATACATACATACATATGTACGGACGTCCCAGTTGTGTTATGAGTAAAGCTCTCCGACTAGCAAAGTGCCAGACAGCTAGGCAAACAGACCAACCATACGGATAAACGACAAACTAACGGTTACATGAAATGAAAAAAGAAAAAAAATAGCACGCGGACAATTACTTGAAGTGTTTGAGAGACAAAAGGACAACGGTTATAAGGCCAATTAATAGTATTTGTATTACAGGGCAGGCGAATGAAGGAGAACGAACGAATGGTCGGTCAGAGGTGGCAATAAAATTTGTATTGAGCTGTTATAGTAGTGCAGCCATACAGTGTACAGCACACACACATACCTACATATATACATATGTACATGTTGGAATTGCTTTTCTGCTGTATATCCTATCGGAAAACTGAAAGGTTTCGAATATTTTGTTTAAGTAGCGGTTATTGGGAGTTAGCAGAGAAGATCCTAATCGACTAGTCACGAGTTTATTTAATTCAATGCCAGTTTATTTAAATTTGAACTACTAAAAATCCTAAAGTTCACAAGTTGCCCCCCATCGCGGATAATGTGCGAACAAATCTGTATATCTGCTTATTCGAACCATAAACGAGTGGAAGGAAGTCCATTTACCTGCTGTGTGGTATCAACGGCATGTCAGCTACATACAAAGCAGCGTAGATCGCAAGCACAATGAACGCATTTGCATATGGTTTGTATGTATGTATGTATGTGTGTATGAACATACATATTTATGTTCGTATAAACAATACTATGTGCTAAAATATTTATATGGTATTGGAACGGATGGTATGAGGTGTTTGTATACCCGATTGCCCTGCAGGAAAAATTTTCTTCGCATGTCTATATCACCCTTATGAGACCAGTTCTAACGGTTGGTGTTCTTTTTTGCCGGGTACGCTCTATAAAAGGCAGCAAACGCGCTGAGGATATGTCTCGTCAAAAGCTTTTAACGCTATGCTAAACCTCAACGTCTGGTGAACTATGTTCTTCACTAGGCGCCACTCAGGAGGCGAGGGCTGGATGGAAGAAGACACTTGAGCATATCCAGGTGTTAGAAGAATTTAAAACACAGATCTAAGGCCTACAATCCGCTACTCTAATAATCTCCTAAAATTTCTCGATTGTCATTCTTTACTTTTGACTATATTGCAATGATATATGTAAAACGAGCAGAGGTACTCTAAATTGTAAATTACCTCTTTGAGATATTTACTTGTCGCATGTCGCAACTCGAATCGCAGCACAAAACCGCTCACCTACGAATTTCCAGCTGGGTCGCATGAGGCTTTTAGAAACGCGCCAGGTGTGTGGGCCAGCGATGTCTCGGGCGGCCATGCCATTGGACTACTCTCGGGCGGCAGTTGAGCGCGAGCATGCGATTCGAGTGGACATTGGCATTGCAGCAGCACTAATCGCCCGGAAGGAAGGCAATGCCGGCAAATATCAACTCCTTCCCACCCACCCCACGTCAGTTCGTAGCCTAGTACTTACATATAAGCAACTTAGCGCGCAAGCCAGCGTAATCCTTTCGTTAAGAGGAATATCGAGCGAACGTTGCGTGCGATTAAGTAAAGCGCGTCGTTGAAGCGTCGAAAGTGAGCCGCCTTGAATAGCGTCATAATCATTTCGATTGGATATTATCCATCTGATCTATTCCGCACACAGCTTTGTCTACATACACATACATACATATGTAGTTCATTTGGCATTAATTTGGCTGCTCACGGTCGTC